TGTTGGGACCCCACCCACAGGGGCCTGATTCCATGGGTCTGGGGCGGGGCCCGGGCATCCAGCACCCTCGGCATCAAGGCTGAATCCTGCCACCGCCACGGGGCCCATTGCTTTCTTTTGAGTTTCCTGAAATATGTTGAAAACCTGAAATACCTGCTGCAAATCCTCCAGTTTCCCAGGTTCCTGCTCCGTGGTCCAGGTCTTTGAGGGCCCTGGTGTTCCCAGACTGGTCATCCCCAGGCCTGAATGTCGTGGGTGTCACCTGAGACCTCTGCTTAGCACCTCTTCTTCTTGTCCTGAGGATGGGTGGGTGGGAGCATACATCTTCCTGAGACTTGCCCCGGAGAGACCTCCAGGTCCACTGGCTTCATAAGCACCGTGGGGAATGTATGCCAGGTGTGGAAGTGTGTCCCTTCCCACCCACGTGGTCGAGAGGGGAGGATGGGGTGGGGAGTGGACTCTGGCAGGAGGAACTACTGTTCCATCCTGTCTTGACCCCCCAGCCTCATCCTATGCAGTTAGCAGAAAGCGTGTGTGAGCCTAAGACATCTGTTGTTTCAAAATCTGACTCATCTTTGAACAATTATGATCGTAGTCATGTGATTCTAGCCCTGGAATACCTATTATTAAGATGCTAATCTCCAAATGAGAAGAAGAAATACAGGTATCTCTTTAAAGAAAGGACAGGTGTGTAGCTCTTTGTACATTTCATCATAGTAGGAAAAACACAGAAGGCTGGGTGGAGGAGGTGTGGTGTTGGGGGTATCAGAGGGCCCTACTTCGGGTCTCAGCTCTTGGTCTGCTGGCAGCGGGTGACCCTCCCTGCCAGCCCCAGCTCCCTCCTCAGTAGGTTGGGGCTGGCAATGCCCCCTCGAAGGCTTGTGCACGAGGTGAGGCACAGTATGTGAAAGTTTCTCTGGGAGCCCCAAAGTGCTGCCTAGATTACTAGCTGTGGCTATCAGTTTGAGAAACTGGCTTTCCTAATGAGCTGCTCAATTAAACTGCAACCCGCCTGCTGGCTTGCGAGGCCGGCCTTTGGCTGGAGCCACCCCTGGAGGGGTCACTGGGGTGAGCTGCAGGGCCCATGTAAGGGGGATCACCCTCGGCCATGTCTCCATCTTTTTTTCTTGGAGCCACTGCTACGCCTGGAGAGGTTCTGAGTGTCTGGACAGGAGAGCCTGGCCAGTAAAGGGTGAGGGTGGGAGGAAGTTGGGCCCAGGAAGTGAATGGAAAAGGGCTTTGCTCCAGGACCAGGGGTGCTGGGGGTCTGGTGGGGGAGAGGGTGACAGAAAAGCTGATGGAGGCAAGAACAGGGTCTTGCCTATAACTGCCCAGAAGGGTCAACAGCACACTTCTTGGGCCATGCTGGGGAGGTGCCCCACTCTGTCTGAGCCCAGGCCCCGGTGCCAGGGGAGGGGAGGAAAAATAATTTTCCCTCCTCCCCTCTAGGTTCTTAGCTGAGGAACCACCCCCCGACCCAACCCAGCTGCCTGTAATAAAAGACAGTCAGCAAAAAAAAAAAAAAAAAAAGAAAAAGACAGTCAGCAGAAGAAAAACAAATAAGTTTAATAACATGTGTCCCTCCTGTGTACAAGGGAGATGCCCAGGAAACCTGAGCAAGTCTTGGAAACAGCCCAAGCCTCCATCTTAAATGCCATCTCTAGCTGGAGACAAAAGATTTTTGGAAGGGGGAGGCCAGTTCTGGGAGGTGGCGGGGAAAAGCCCAGTAGATAACGGCACAGCTGTTGGGCAGACTTAACTCCATGGATACGAGATTCTAGAGATCTAGCCAGTCTTCTCCTGGTACAGACAGGAAGACACTCTTGTTATTCAGTTGCTCAGTCGTATCCGACTCTGTGAACCCGTGGACTGCAGCATGCCAGGCTTCCCTGTCCTTCACTATCTCTCGGAGTTTGCTCAGACTCATGTCCACTGAGTCTATGATGCCATGCAACCATCTTGTCCTCTGTTACCCCCTTCTCCTCCTGCCCCCTATCTTTCCCAGCATTTCCCTTATAAATATAAATATCTATTACTAAAAGTTAGCATTAACTGGTTTTCAGAGCTCTTCAACGTCCATTGTTTCTTAAAAATAATCAGCCTAAAATAATCCTTAACCCAAAGAGACATATTTTGTGTGGCATATTCTACTCCCCTCCCCCCGCCACAGAAATGCACCTGGAAGCCCATGGAGAGGACTCAGGGAACACCTGCTGAAATGATGGAGAACCCCGAAGCATGTTCGCCCATCAGCTGCTGTGTGTCCACACCACGCACACCCAGGGAAAGGTGTCTGTGGAGCCTGCGGTGGGCGGGGACTGAGACTCGGTGTCCGCAGTTCCCCAGCTGTTATTTGATAAACAGAGAAAGTCTTAAGACCCTGAGTGCTCGCTGACATCCGTGTGCAACCTCTGGACTGCCCTGGGGAGATGGGGTCCTTTGGAGCTCATACTGCAGCGTGCCAGGGGTCACCCAAGAATCTGACCCCGGTCCAGAGATGCACTGTGGCCGAGTAGGCTGTGCCTTTGGACTGTAAGATGGTGACCATCTCCTGTTCCTTTTCTGCTCATCCTGGTATGGTCTCTCTCACTTGGCCATTTTGTTCCATGATCGCCAGGCCCTTGTTTAGGGACGTTGAGGGGATGCAGGCAGCAAAGGTTCAGAGGTGGTTCTGGAGCCCAGGTGGGCAGAGAGCCACGTCCACTCTTCCTGAGGCTTTGCCTGTCCCGGGGGCATCCCCATGGCTCCTCTGCAGGTGAACCAAGGCAGTGACCAGTCCCTGCGTGCAGGCCTTGCCTCCTTGCCCCCTTTCCCTGACGCTGTCAGCAGTAGGGAACTGACAACCTTTCTTTGGCACCAGTTAGCTCCCAGGCTCGGTCCCAAGAAGAAACTCTGGGTGGCGGACATCATCCTTTTTCTCATGGGCCAAATGAGAGAACGGAGGCATGGACAGGTGAGGGGCACACACCTCAATCCACGGGGTGCTGAGAGTCCGACCAGGGGCTGGACTTCAGCATCTGTATTTGGTCACTCAGAGCCTCTGCAGACAGACCCCAAAGCTGCCGCACGTGCATGATGCTGGAGAACGTGGCGGGTGGGGTTTTCTTCAATCATAGGGATAGCACTTGGATTCTGACTATTGAACCCTTTCTTGTAGACTCGGTCTAGATGTAGGTGGCTGAACACAGGAAAAAAACTCGGGCTTAATCAGACTCGACCTGCTTTTGAGGGAAAGGCAGAATAAGTTGAAAGCCGGGCCCTCTTTAATCCTCCATCGAATTAGCCTGATGACAGGGCTACCTTCATCTAAGTGGTAAATGGGCAAAGTGGGTCAATCCAGCTTTAGCTTAAGCTGGGGCTGGTTGCAGGGTTGCGGGGCCACCCCCCATCAGGGAGACGCCCACTTCCTCTAATTCGCTGTGAAGGAGTCTGTTGCTCTTTTCTGGCTCATGTGATAGAGTTTATATCATCATTTCTGTAAACATCTTCATAAAGCAATTTTGGTCTCAGTAGATTAGGGATGGCTTGAAGCTGGACGTTTAGAACATCCTGAGTGTTAGCTGCTCAGTCACGTCCGACTCTCTGCGACCCCATGGACTGCAGCCTGCCAGACTTTCCTGTCCTCCACTATCTCCTGGAGTTTGCTCAAGTTCTGCCTGTGTAGTTACATTTAAATTATGTGGCAATAAATAAATATCATACAAGTCTCTCTCTCTTTAAAAATATTTATTTATTAATTTATTTATTTTGGTTGTACCGGGTCTTAGTTGTGGCACGTGGACCCTTCATTCCCTGACCAGGGTTCAAGCCCAGGACCCCTGCATTGGCAGCGAGGAGTGAGTCTTAGCCACTGGACCCCCAGGGAAGTCCCTGTCTCTTTTTTAATTACTTATTTTTAATTGGAGGATAGTTGCTTTACAATATTGTGTTGGTTTCTGCCATGTATCAACATGAATCAGCTCTAGGTATTCACATGTCCCTTCCGGCTTGAACCTCCCTCTCACCTCCCACCCCATCCACCTCTCTAGGTTGTCACAGAGCATTGAATTTGAGCTCCCTGCATCATACACCAGGGATCTATAAAAATTAGATTTCCACCAGCTATCTATAAAAAATGGAATCTGAAGTAATTTTGGAGGCTTCTAGAGTTGTGTCTCAGCACATTCTCTCTTCGCATCAGTTTATACTTCATCTGACTCCTCTGGATTTTTTGGCAGCTACGTGCCTCAAGGCCTTCAGGGATGTTTTTCATGGTGAAGGCATTTGGTCGGTGATCACTGTGACGATGCTAGTACACCCTGACTGGCTCAGGGGACATTTTCATTCCCGTGTCCACTGGGCTTTTGTCACAACATGATAAGCACAGCAGAGCAGGATAGGGAGGACGTGTGGATGCCAAAATCTCCAGGAGCCCCAGGTGATATTATTTTGAAAGGCACATACCCAGAGGTGAGAGGTCTCTGTGTTCTGAAGTCAGATATTCGGGGCCATCTAAAAGCTGGATACCCCCCAAAATAAGGGAGAGACACCCAGGAGAAGATCTCAGAGAAGGTCGAATCTTACTCCTTCTACTCTAAAGTGCCTTTCCATCTTAGGTGGAGAGCATCTGGCCTCCGACCTTCAGATAGGACATACCTGTATCTCTCAGCTCTGAAATTCGACTTGCATTTTTTTTTTTTATGTTTCTACAAACTGAAATTAGATGGAGCTAGGATTAGAAGTGCTGACATTGCAGCTCCATGCTCAGTGATGACCTAAAGGGGTGGGATGGGGGGACCGGTAGGAAGGAGTCTCAAGAGGGATGGGATATATGTATACATATGGCTGATTCATGGGTGTTGTACAACAAAAATTAACATATTATAAAGCAGTTACCCTCCAATTAAAAAATAAATCAGAAAAAAAAGCAAGAATAGCAAAAAAAAAAAAGTATTGCTACTGAGACTTGTGGCCAAAGAGCTGTGACCTCTGACCCGCCCTGGTCTGTTTGCTCCGCGCAGGGACCTGATGCCGAGGACCCTGGACGGCCAGATCACCATGGAGAAGACGCCCAGCTACTTCGTGACGCGCGAGGCGCCCGCGCGCATCTCGGCCATGTCCAAGGACACCAAGCTCCTGGTGGTGGTACGCGACCCGGTGACTCGGGCCGTGTCGGACTACACGCAGACGCTCTCCAAGCGGCCTGACATCCCCAGCTTCGAGAGCCTGGCCTTCCGGAACCGCTCGGCGGGCCTGGTGGACCGCTCGTGGAGCGCCATCCAGATCGGCCTGTACGCAGAGCACCTGGAGCGCTGGCTGCGCCACTTCCCCGCCCGCCAGATGCTCTTCGTGAGCGGCGAGCGCCTGGTGCGCGACCCTGCCGGCGAGCTGGGCCGCGTACAGGACTTCCTGGGCCTCAAACGCATCATCTCGGACAAGCACTTCTACTTCAACCAGACCAAGGGCTTCCCCTGCCTCAAGAAGGCGGAGGGCAGCGGCCGCCCCCACTGCCTGGGCAAGACCAAGGGCAGACCCCACCCCGAGATCGATGCGCAGGTGCTGCGGCAGCTGCGGGATTTCTACCGGCCCTTCAACCGCAAGTTCTACCAGATGACGGGCCACGACTTCGGCTGGGACTGATGGCACTCCCTTGGGCTTAGGAAATATTGAGAGAGATTATATGTATGTAAAATGTACAGAAATCTATTTTATAATAATTTATTTTTAATTCATAAGCAATTAATTCACTAAGCTGCCTAGCCACACTCTTTTAGAGAGTCACGTAATCTGTTAACATTCCAAAGTGTTTTCTAATATTTTCTTCTTGTCCTCGAAATGGATGGTGCTTCCATTTTTTTTTTCCTTTGAGTTTTCTTTCTACCCATTGTATTTAAAGAAAAGAAAAGCACAACTTGAGATTTTTGTTGTTACGGGTATGCAGCCTTCGATCGCTGTCTGGATGCATTTGCCATCTCCTTGTTCTGAAACTCTGGTCTCCCCGGCTGCCTGGCCACCTCTGGGAGCTCTGAGGTGACAGACCGCCACATGGCAGCTTCCTCGGCCGCTTTCTGACACGTCCAAGGGCGCAGACTCCAGACCACAGCGCTAGGTCCACCCCCCCCCCCCACCCCCCCAAGTCCACTCAGCGCTCGGGAGAATCACTACCTTGGCTGGGACATCCACGTCCTCTTAGAGTCTGCTGGTGAGGAGATCAAGGTAATGGACTTTAGCTTTTGATTCTGAAGGCTGCCCCATTGCCTCCTCTCCTGCCCCATCCCCAGTGCATCAGCCGGCTTGAAGTGTATGCAGATGTCAGTTCCCTCCCCTGACTTTCCCAGGTCCTGAGCTTGGCTGCTGCTTTAGAAATAAAGATGTTCCCTTCTAATTTGCATGCGAGTGCATCCTGCGTGCTCCGTTCTCAGGCAGACAGTTTCTGCCTTAACACACCAAAGAATCCCCCCGGCTAGCAGAACGACCAGCACAAACCAGGGGTGCTGGGCGTCGAGACCTGAAGGGGTCAGGTGCCTCCCCTCCTGACTCCACCAAGATGCCAGGACCAGCCCCTGTTTGGGGTCTGGAATTCCTCTCCCTGGAATTTCTAGCTCATCTCAGACAACATGGTCTGTAGCCAACAGCCAGACAGAACCAGGAGTGGCTCTTATAAAAAGAGACTGGGAACGCTGGCCCCGTGTCGCCTGTGACGCTCGAGCCTGGGCTGTCTCTTGTTCTAGCCAGGCCCTGGCAGGAGAGGTACCAGTCTTGTAGCTGCTGATGTGGAATGCTCTCCTCTGCTTCTCTCTGGAGGGAGCGGTGAGGTGGGAAGGCCGGGGGAGTCACTTGATGCTGACCAGCTAGTGGCTGTTGGTAACCCTATAGCAATATGACATAATAATAGTCTCTTCACTTGATCCTCAGTTTTCTAACCCAGAATGGTTCTACCATCAAAGAATTGTCATTTGCATTATACTTTCATCAAGGAGTATATGGGAAGATGTTGTCAACCTAGTTGGGTTGCAGTAGTTACAAAGGACACTTTTGTCTATTCTATGGGATAACTCACTTGCTAGAGAAGCAAAACACTGGTCTTTAAGGGATGTCTTGTGGATAAGCTGGTTTGTCTTTGCACACGTAGCTAGCTTGTGCTTAGCAGCAAACTGTCATCATGTAGGTTGGGTGTAGGAGGATGGACATGGGGCGGGGGCAGGGAGCTGTGCATTCCTGAGATGCTATAATCATTCGGTAGCTTTGTTACTGCCTCCACTAAGCCAAGGAGAACCTGCACTTAGGGGAATGCCCATAATCACAGGGTGGTTCTCCCTTCTTGCTGCTTGGGTGTCAAAGACATCCTCATAAGGGTGCTAAGTGATCATACATTTCTCCAATCAGAAAGCTGATTGGAAATAAAACCAGGAACACCTCCTCTTTTCCGTTACAGCAGAGCATGGCTTCAAGTCAGAATCAGTCCACAGCCACCACCTGCTCCTGCCCCGTCTGCTTTCTGGCCGCTCTGGTGCCCTGCCGTGGCACGTGATGTCCAGTTGCAGAGAAGTTCAGAGAAGGGCTTGCCACAAAGCAGAGGGGGAAATGCACACAAGCTTCTCCTTCCCCTCCGGGTCCCTGCTTGTCTTTCCAAGCTGGACCATTTTTGATTAAGTTGTTTATTCTCTGCCTTAAAACTGAAACAGGAAATCCTCAGCTTAAAGGAGGGTCATTTAGTCGTGAACACTGAAGTAAGTCAAGGTTCTATTCTAGGTCAAATCCTTGAATCCAAACAGATGTCGATAATTAGCACTGAAGGACTAGAGTGAGTTTTTCCATGGAAGACAAATAAATCAGATTTCCTGTGCATCTCTTCCAAGGGGTCTGAGGGCTTGCGGTTTCTGACTGTTCCTGACGGCTCCCAAGGTTACACCCCATCGCGTGATACTTATTACAGGGCCCACATGTCTTCCTCCTGGAGAAGTCAGGCAACACATAAAATCAGACTTTAACTTTCTTCCTGTTCCAGCCATCTGCAAGACCACCAACTTAACTTTTTCGCTGCTAGAAGGCAAACACCATATCACCTCTTGGCAAATTTTGTCCTAACGCACGTTTTGGGTTTCTTCCGGGTTACAGGAAAAGCTCTGATATTCATGGGGTACTCTTTGCTCCACTCAGTGTGTTTAAAAGCAAACAAAAGTGCTGAGGTTTCCGTTGTTCCTATCTAGCCCACGCTATCTTTGAGGTGTTTGTCCGGTTGTCTGTGAACTTGGTACGTGGGACCTGGAAAGGTGTTTAGGTACACTGACTGAATCATAAGCATCTAGTTGGAAGATGAAGGAGGAGAAATTGTCTCCTTCCTCCTGGGAAGTCACTCCGAGTGACAGGTACATTATAGACATTGGAGAAATAGAGTTTCCGATCCTGCCAGGATATTTTCATAAGAAAGGAAAAATGGAAGAGTCCATTCAACTAGAAACACTCAGTGTTAAAAAGGCCGAGGTGGAAGTCGATATCTTTTTCTTTTCAGTTGATCAAGAAAGATGGTCAATAAAACTTCAAGGTGTGGTTAGATTTTTTTTTTTCACTTTTGTAACATTAATTTATGACTGAGTTTCATTCCACCCAGTAATCTGAAATACTGTGCAAATTCTAGCTGTTTCCTCTATAACCTGGATGTTAGAATAGCCAATATGTACAAAAAGGAAAAAAAAAATTAAATCAAGTATTTTGTCCTATGTATAACACAAATTAATTTTACACAGAAAAAGATGTTTCTAGGAAAATGAAATTCTGGTTATTCATACTATTTCTTTGTATGAACAAATAAAATATATTTTACCAACTTGTGGGCACTTCTATGTTTTATTATGTGTTGTGGATGGACAGGGAGGTGGTGGTTGCTGTTCAGTCACTAAGTCGTGTCCAGATCTTTGTGACCCCATAGACTGCAGCCTGTCAGGCCCCTCTGTCCTCCACTTTCTCCTGGAGTTTGCTCAAATTCACATCCATTGAGTCCATGATGCTATCTAACCATCTCATCCTCTGGCACCTTCTTCCTTTTTCCTTCAGTCTTTCCCAGCATCAGGGTCCATATCGTTAGCAAACAACCTGTTTTCTTTTAACAAGGCACACCATCTCCATGGTTATATGGATTATTATTTACCACTTTAAACGTTCGATTCATTCTTCTACTTGAAATTTTCAATTGAGATTTACTTTCTGGTTGCATTGTATTTTATTGTTATTTTCTAAAAATATTTATTTTTTTGGCTGTGGTCTTACTTGGTCTTAGTTGTGGCATGTGAGATCTTTAGTTTTGGCATGTGGGATCTGGTTTCCTGACCAGGGATGAAACCTGGCCCCCTGCATTGGGAGATGGAGTCTTAGCCACTGAACTACCAGGGAAGTCCCTCTGGTTGCATTTTAAAGTAGTCAACACTAAGTTAATAAATTAAGGCTCAAGAATCCTGACCTCTTTTTTTTTTTTTATAAGCCACTTTATTGAGGCGAGATTGGTATACAAAAGTGTGCATGTTTAATGTATACCACTGAATGAGTTTAGTGTGAGTACACACCTGTGAAACCAATGTCATAAACATAGCCATCACCTCCAAAAGTACCCCCCCCACACCATTTTTATTTATATTTTTGTGGTAAGAACATTTTACAAAAGACCCACGCTCTTAGCAAATGCTTAAGAATGCAGTATAGTATTGTTAACTGTAGGCACTATGGTGTATATTAGGTGTCTTGGATTTAATTCATTTTGTGGAACTGAAATTTTATTCAATTTGAAAAGGAAACATTTTACCAGTTTCAGGTGAATAGCCATTCTCTCATGCCATAAAGAAGCAATCTTAATTAAAAGCATAAATATTAATAGAACAAAAACTAATTGATGCTAATAATTTCTAGTTATGTATAACTCAAGCCATGTTTGCCATAAGCTAACCTCTGCTCCTGGCAAAGGTCGCTCCTGTTGAAGGCTCGCACTTAACCTGAGATGTGCGTCTTGCCATGAAGGAGGGGAGAGAACTGAAGAGGGAATTGTTTGCTTTTTGGGGTTGAGTCCAGCTTACCATTTTGGAAAGGCAGTGAGAAGAGCACCCCTCCAAATGGGCGGATGCCTGCTGCTCAGCCAAGAAACAGGTCTCCGGTTAACACTTGGTGTTGAAAAGCCTGCATTTTATAGAGCTCGCTCCTTCAAACGCAGGAGTATGCCACTGGTTGATGTATTCGTGGGTCTTGAGTGCTGACCTGACCTCATACCCCAGCCCATCAATTTCTTGCTTTTTCTACAGAAAGGTAATAAAAGGGACCTAAAATCTACTCATTAACCTGATGGCACAGTTTAGAGCAGTATTTCTCAAGCTTGGGCAAATACTCAGATGACCTAGAGAGGTCTTAAAAATTACTGACGCTCTAACACACCTCAGAACAATTACATTAGAATCTCTAGGGGACAAGGCCCCGACACTGGTACATTTAAAAAGTTCCCTGGACTTGGACCTGGAGGGCATTGTGCTTAGTGAAATAAGTCAGACAGAGAAAGACAAATACTGTGTCATCTCACTTATGTATGGAATCTAAAAACGGCAAACTCAGAGAAACACAGCAGAATGTGGTTACCAGGGGCTGGGAGTGGAGGAAATGGG